TAAAAATTTAATATTAAAAGTTTTTATTAGTATTATTATTATATTATTTTTATTGTTGTTGTAAATTTCATAACATTTTAATGAAGTAAAATTTATTCTGGAAATAGTGCAATATTAGACAAAAATTCTAAATAGTTTGGGGTTTAGTTCGTAAATGGTAAAAGTTACTATATATTTATTGCCTTGGATGAAAAAAAAACTAAATTTTATTTTTAAGTTTAAAAACTCTGAGAAATAATAGAAAAAGATTTTAAATTTTCAAAAAACAAAATTTTTTTCCAAAATTTGCAGAAAGTAAGAATTTTTTTCTATAACTAAAAATTATTCTAACTTAAAAAAAATTCCAATTTTGTAAAGTTCTACTTAAAAATAAAGAAAAAGGGGAGAAAATGTATGATTGTAGGTGTTTAAGGAGATAAAAAGGGAGGAAAGAGGGAAAAGAGGGGATTTTGGATAATAGAAATTAATTTCCAATTCTACAATTAAAATAATCACTATTTGTTATCAAAGTTTATTTTTACGGAATTATTAATCAAGCGTTTCAACAAAATAATTTGCGAGTTTAAATTTGGAGAAAACAAAATCGAATATTTATAAGAGAGCAGTTACTTTTGCGAAGTGCACTATAAAAATGTTATAAGTTCACCCACACACAGACTATATATAATATAAAACGAACGATAAATAAAATATCGTCGCGCATTACAAAGAGAAAAGTGAGTGGACTCAAAGTTAAAAACCAATTTAAAGTTACAATCGTTTGTGCACGTTGAAATGGAAATGTTTTTTCTTCTTTTCTTTTTTTTTCGTCAAACAGAAGTAAAGGGGAATACTACTTTACATTTTATTACTTTAGTCTCTATTTTTACGTGAACAAATACTTATTCATCTTGAAATTTTTAATATCTGAATTCAATGAAATGATTCTCTCGTGTCATTATATTCTATATTCTTTTCGAACAAAAGAATATAAATTCATTAGAGTATATAATATTGAATGAACATGTTTTTATTGTGATTTTTTAAAATTTAATGAATGAGGAAAACTCTTGTATTTCCGCGATATTTTTTTTATGGAATTGAAGTTGATTTTTCTTGTAATCTAATTAGTCTCTTCTGTTGTGAAAATTTTTTTTAATTCTTTATAAAAAAAAATCCTTTTTTTAAATATTTTACTGCAGTTGAAATAATATTTCTTTGTGGTCATCATTTTTTTTATTTTTTTATTTTATGGTTTGCTTGATATTTTTGTATGAAATATATTTTATATGGTAATAGTGTATCTGTGTATGACGCTTTTTGAATATGGTAAAAGCTATTTCAATTTTCAGTATTTGAATGTTTGATCTGTCTATATAGAAAAAATTTGATAGATATATTAATATATATATATACATTTTGACCATTGGTGTCGGAGTGATTTTTTGCAAATTGATAAACAAATAATGATAACAAGTATATCATACTGTGCAGTGTTAAATATTTTAAAGTTGATCAACGAGAGTCACATATTTTTAAGGTACTCGAGAAAACTGCTCGTTATAGAGAGAAATAGAAGCACTCGACAATAATATTTCTCGTTGTGAATTAATATTTATTTCACGTTTGTCATACATTTATCGCCGAAAAGCGAAATATTCTATTTTTGTATTTTAACATCCAATTCGTACGGAAAACACTTTCAGTTATTGAACTCTTTTTTCCGTTTATCGGAAATTTTAAATTAAAATTATCAAAAGAAGAAAAATAACAATAATAAAATACAAGCTTCGTACTCATCCACTAAAATCTACTATTTACTACTATTTTTTATGATTTGCTACTATTTTGATACTTCTTTTTTTAGATTTATGACACTAACAGCTACTATTTTCTATGTTTGAGAATTTGCACTAGTTTAAATTCGCTAATAGTTGGAATAAAAAAATTATTCTCAAAAATTTAAATAAAATTCTTAGCAACAATTCAAAAGATTTTAAGAAAATTCTTTCAAACGGTTCAAATTTTCAAACATTTATCGAAAGTCAATTACTTTTAATATCTGCTGATTTAATAAAAAATTTTCCAAAAGAATTCAATAATTTAAAAAACTTTTTATAAAATTTTTCGCAAAATTCTATTATTTAAAAAAATGTAATAAAATTCTTCGCAAAAAGTCACGTATTTATACAAATAATAAAATTCTTCTAAGAAATTTAATTATTAATATTAAAAATTTGAATAAATTTTGTTAAAAAAATTCAATTATTTTCATAAGTAAAATAATTTAAAAATTTTGTAAAAATTAAAATTTCCTAAACTTCCATTCAAAATAATTGAAATTTTTAAAAGTTTTTTATAAAATTCTGTGCAAACATTCAATTATTTTCATAAATAATAAAATTTTTATAGAAATTCCATTATTTAAAATACAATTTTCATAATATTTTTCGAAAAGACCAATTAATTAAAAAGATTTTTATAAAATTCTACCAAAGAATTGAATTATTTTTATAAATAATAAAATTCTTTTCAGGAATTCAATTATTTTTAAATAATTTAATAAATTTCGTTGCAAAAAATCAATTCTTCTGACAATTAAAATAATCGAAAATTATTATAATAATTGAAATTTCCCAATATTTTACTGAAAATAATTAAATTAAAAAAAATTTTTTTATGATATTCTTTGCAAACATTCAATTTTTTTTTTTGTAAATAATAATATTTCCATAGAAATTTTATTATTTAAAATACAATTTTCATAAAATTTATCGAAAAAAACCAATTAATTAAAAAGATTATCATAAAATTCTTCTCAGGAATTCAATTATTATTATAAATAATAAAATTTTCCTCAGGAACTCAATCATTATTAAAAATTTGAATAAATTTCGTTGCAAAAATTCAATTATTTTTATAACTAAAATTATTGAAAATTTTTGTAATAATTGAAATTTCCTAATATTCCTCTAAAAAATAACTGAATTTTTAAAAAAAATTTTTATAAAATTCTTTGCAAACATTCAATTTTCTCGATAAATAATATTTTCATAGGAATTTTATTATTCAAAATACAATTGTCATAAAATTTATCGAAAAAACAAATTAGTTCAAAAGTTTTTTATAAAATTTATTCTCTCAGGAATTCAATTATTTCTTTTAAATTTTAATCAAATTGTTTGCAAGAATTCAATTTTTTTTATAAATAATAAAATTCATCACAGGATTTCAATTATTTTAATACAATTTTAAATCAATTCCTCGAAAAATTCAATTATTCGGAAAAATTTTATTAAGATTCTTCGAGAGAATTGTTGGATAATTTTATAAAAATTTGATATTAATAATTTGTTTATTAGAATTTAATAATTATTTCCAATATATTTTTAATTAAATTTCTTGAAAGAATTTAATTATTTTCAAAAATTTTAATGAATTTCTTCGTAAGAATTTAATTATTTTAGAAAATTTTGATGAAGCTCTTTATACGAATTTAATTTTAAGAAATTTGTAATTATTTAATAAATTATTTATTATAATTAACTTTCTATTAAGAATTGATTTGAAATTTATTATTTAATTCAATATTAGAAGCATTCTAGTGTGAATTTTGAGAAATAATTAAATTTTAAATGATTGAATTGAAATTAGTCCGAGAAGTTTAAAAGATTTGATTTTGAAATCTTTGAAAATTTTAATTGTTATATAATTGTAATAATATTAAAATTTTTATTTTGAAATAAAATGATTAAAGTTCTGAATAAAGTTTATTCAGAAATATTACAGTTTCAGTTTCAGAAGTTTATTACAGTTGTAATTTTTAGAAACAGTTAAATTGCAAAAAGGCTTTATATTGAAATGATTTTAAATATTTTAATTCCTGTGAAGAAATAAATAGGTATTAAAATATTTATTTAATAAAAATTATGTTATGTTTAAATGTAATTTATAATTTAGAAATTATGAAGAAATTGAGTCGTCATATTTAATTTTTCGATAGCTAGAAAAATTAAGCTTAATATGATAATTAAGATAATAATTTGTAATTTCTTCATTTAAATTTAAGTGATATAAAGTTTATCACCTAAATAATGTGATGATAATAATATAATAATAATGTTAATTAATTGATTATCGTTATTATTTTATAAGTGCAGTTTCTTAACAGTTTTGTAATTAATGAAAAATTTTTAGTAATCTTCGGATTTGTGAAAAGAAATTTAAAGTGCTTTTAAAGAGTAACTATTACTCTCGCGAAATATATTTTTACATTTTGTTAGCAATGCGGTGATAAACTTGAAAAACTCATTTTCGCAATGTAACTCCCAAATGAGTGAATTAGCTTAGCACAGGAATTCAATTATCCAATCCCATACTCATCATACACACTTTAGTAAATACAAAACGACATACAATACATTATCGTTACGGTACATTGCAGCGATGATTTGGAATTAAAGTGCTTTACACTATTTCAATTCCAACACGCATTGGGCGTGAATCTATTCAAGCATATCAAATTTAGAAGTATTTATTTTTAGAAAAATTTTTTGATTTCAAATTTTTATATAAAATGTTTGATATCAAATAAAATAAAATATTTTTATATAAAATTTTTACATAAATTTTTTATATATAAAATGTTTTTTTAAAGTTTTTGCATAGAATTTTTTATTTTTAGAACAAATTTTTTAACCATATTTATTTTGATGGGATTGAAGTAATGTAATTAATAAATCAATAAAAAAAAATGGGTCTTTTATTATCAAACTGAAATATTTTGTATTTTTTCAATATTTTATTTAATTTATGAGAAAGTTTTTTTTTTAGCAATATTGTTTATTTTTTCAATATTGAAAAAAATGGGTATTCTGCATTTTTTCATGATGAATTACAATAAAAATACATGAATGCGAATTCTCTTGAAAATTCTTTTTTTATTAGATAAAAAGCCCATTACGATTGAAATGTACGTGAATCAAGGATATAGGGATTTTTTTTTTTTTTTGATGACTTACCAACTCGATCACTCGTTTCCACGAGATTTTTCTCGTGGATTCCAACCGCTCTATTCAGATTCGATCTTTTCTGAATTTGATGGCACTTGATATCTGGAAAAAAAAACCGAAAAAATCTTATTTTCAGGAATTTTGATAAAAAAACAATTATTTTTTTATTCGTATAATAAGATTTAGGAAAGTATAGAGAGAATTTTGAAATTGTGTTTTTTTGTGAAAAATATCAACTGCATGGGAGTTTTTATATTCTTCAACTTTTTATCTTTGGAACAAAATTAGGATGACTTTTGCGCTTTTTTATTGGAATAATAAAAAAAAAGTGGATGCGTAATTTTTCTTTATATTTTCGCATAAAAAGAAAGGGGGGAAAAATGAAAATATAAAGGAATGATAACAATTAGTTGACGTAATTTCATTGCCTAAATAAAAAGTAATTGTGTATTTTTCTCCGAGGGTGCTTGGGAGTGGACTGAATTAGCATGGATTAAATTCGGTCATCCAGATTATTGTGTGTATCATTTGGACTTTTCAAGGGAAATAAAGCATTTTCCGCACAGCACTGACTGGGAAAAAAAAGTTTTCTCTAAAGTTTTAATTACATAGAAGCATAATTAACTTGGATCGTTTGAAATAAAGTTTTATGGTGTATATAATAAGAGTTTGCAGCTTTGATTAAATTGAAGAATGAAAAAGAATTTATCGATTTTTTCATTCTTTGTAAAAGAAAAAATTTTTACAATAAGGGCCAATTAGCTGACTATTGTAGTTTATAGTTGGAAATTTGAGACAAAAGAGAAAAAAAGTTTAATATTAATCAAAAATTGATTTTTGAAGTTTATTTTTCATTCCGAAATATAAATTCGAATAGTTTCAGGTCGATTGAATAATATAGACATTTTTCAATATTTCAGACAAAAAAATATCACCCCAGTTTCTCTCTTCAATATCATTGATTTCCTCGGCGAATTTCACCAATCAAAATGCTTTATTCAGAATCGCGAGAGTTTTAAATAGAAATAAATCACGTGAATTTGGAAAATAACATCGAACGAAAAGGGACACATTATTAATTTAGCAGGAATACACATTTCAATTTGTAAAATTGTAATTGGCTCGTTAATTTTTTTTTTTAAGGGAAAATGCAAAATTTGCCACATTTAATAATAAAGTAGAAAAAATATTAATTAAAAATTAAAAATTAAAAATTACAATTTACAATTTACAATTTACGAATTACGAATTAAAAATTGAGGATTAAAAATTAAAAACTGAAAAACAAAAAATTTTAAAATTTACTATAAAAGCGAATTTCTCAATTTGATTACGTGAATATGTGGTAACAAAAATTAATTTTTTTTTTAATTTCACATATTTATAAATGTGAATATATATGAGAAGAAGTTTTTTGTTGGCTCTTGATAACGGGAACAATGGAAGTTGCCCGAGGAATGTAGAATTTCATCAAAAAAGACTTGATGTATGTAATAACACTCGTATATGTTCGCAAAGCTGCATAAATAATCTCTTGTATCATGCTAATTTAGCTGTTATTTTTTTTCATTCAAACTAGCCAACAGGTATTCAACTAGAGTGCTCGATTACATCTCTTGGTACACTTTCAACTTATTTACAATAGCCTACTGAAAACAAAATAACACAATAATTTTAATAACATTCTGATTCCTCTTCTCGATACAAACTTCTAATAAAGTACGAAGAATAGAATCATTTCATAAAAATATATTTAAAAAAATCATTTTCTACAAAAGAAAATTTATTACAATAATAATATTTTATTATAATTATGAATAAAAAATATTTTAATTAAAAATTTAAAAGGTTTTGTTATCACTGGCTCGAACCAGTAAAAGTATTTAAAAATACGGACCAAAAAGAAAAAAAGAAAACATTTTACTTAAAAGAATAAATTAAATTTTTTCGTAACTAATAAAACATGATGATATCGATTACTCTGAGTCTTCGACTCGGAGTGATCGGTTTCTTCATGTTTTATAATAATTAAAGATGGAAAAATGATAAAATCATTATTTTATATTTAATAAGAATATTGTACTTCTTCAAAATTATATTTCAATATTCAATTGTTATTTTTAGGAATTTTTCTCTAAAATTTTTCTTTAAATCAATTAATTTTCGAAAAAGTTCTTCGACAATTTTCAAAATCCATTTATTGAAAATATTCAATTATTTATAAAAATTCAAGCTATATTGCTTTTAATATATTCAATTGTTATCTGAAATTTTAACTGAAATTAATTTTAAAATCAATTTTTATTAGAAAATTCTACTAGAATTAAATTATTTAAATACAAAAATAAATAATTTATTGAACAATTGAATGTTTTTTAAAATTCAATTCTCATAAAGAATTTTATCATCACATTTTTAAATAACTGAATTCTTTAGACGGTTTTTAATAAAATTTTCCGAAAAATTCGATTATATTTGTATGAAAAATAATTGAATTTCTGCATTGAGTTTTATTATTACTGAAAATAATTGAATTTCTAAGAAGAATTTTACTACTTCATTTTTTCTGAAAAAAGGTCCGTAAATTCCGTAATTTAATTAAAAAAGGACGAAAATTTCGTAAATTGTACGATATAATTTGAAAATTTTTAGAGAAGTTTTAAATGATTGCAGAAGTTCAATTATTTTCAAAAGTAATAAAATTCTTTGCAGAAATTCAATTATGTTCAAAAATTTTTAAAAATTCTCTTAAAAATTTCAATTATCTTTATAAATAATGAAATTCTTCTCCGAAATACAATTATTTTAAAAAATTTTAATAAAATTCTTTGCAAAATTTCAATTACTTTGAAAAATTTTCCTCAATTTAATGATTTTTAATATATCTATTATTTTAAAAAACTTTTCCAAAAGAATTCAATTGTTTAACAAATTTTTAATAATATTCTACGCAAACATTGAATTATTTTCATAAAATAATAAAAATTTCACAAAAATTCAATTATTTATATTTTCTTTACAAATTTCTTCGCATTATAATTCAATTATTTTTATAAACAATAAAATTATTACAGGGATTTAATTTAAAATCCACAAAAATTTTGGAGATGTTACAAATTATTACAGAAATTCAATTATTTTCAAAACTAATAAAATTCTTGTCAGAAATTCAATTTTCCAAAAGAATTCAATTATTTAAAAAAATTTTAATAAAATTCTTGGCAAAATTTCAATTATTTTCATGAAATAATAAAAATTTCACAAAAATTCAATTATTTAAAATTTTTTTATAAATTTCTTCGCATTATAATTCAATTATTTTTATAAAAAATAAAATTATTACAGGGATTACAAATTTTTAATTGAAAATGAAATTAAAACTTTTTAAATTTTTAGAAAATAGAGGAAAAAATTTTACTCAAAAAAATGTTCTGTTACATGTATTTTGTACGAATTTTTTTAATTGCAAAAGTTTTCAAAAACATGAATAACTTTTTTTTTAAATAAATATTTAATCAATATTATTTTTCCATGGGAATTAAAAATATCAAAAATTTCAAATTAAAATCTTTTTAAATTCAATAACTTATAATAATGTTTTATAATAATTAAAGATGACCGAGTGATAAAATCATTGTTTTATATTTTATAAGAATATTATTACAGTAATTTTTTCAAAATTATTTTTATCATTTCAAATCAATTATTATTTTCTACAATTTTTAATTATTTTGTTATGAAAATAATAGAATTCCTTAAAAAAAGTTTATTATTTATAAAAATAATTGAATTATTGCGAAGGAATTTATAAAATATTTGTAAATAATTGAAATTCTGAGAAATTTTTATTATTTATGAAAATAATTGAATGTTTGCGTACTATTTTTGGGAATTTCAATTATTTGTAAATTCTTCAATTAAATATGTACCTATTAAAAAATAAAAACTTCAAATATAAATAATTTCAATTAAACTTTTTGAAAACAATGAATTTCACAATTCAATTATTTATAAAAATTCACGCTATATTGCTTTTAATATATTCAATTGTTATCTGAAATTTTAACTGTAATTCATTTTAAATCAATTTTTATTAGAAAATTCTACTAGAATTAAATTATTTAAATACAAAAATAAATAATTTTTGAACAATTGAATGTTTTTTAAAATTCAATTCTCATAAAGAATTTTATCATCATATTTTTAAATAATTGAATTCTTTCGACGATTTTTAATAAAATTTTTAAGAATAATTACATTTTCCGAAAAATTCGATTAAATTTGTATGAAAAATAATTGAATTTCTGCATTGAGTTTTATTATTACTGAAAATAATTGTATTCCTAAGAAGAATTTTACTATTTTTGAAAAGAATTAAATTTCTGCGAAGGATTTTATTACAATTCTTCTTCTTCGTATTTTTTTATAGAAAAATTCGCGAATCAAATAAGAATAATAAAATGGAACAAAGTCAATCTTTTTCAAAGAAGAAAATACTTTAATATTTTTAAGAATTAAGTATTCGCAACTTAAATTCTTACTCTTAATTATGAATAATTAAGTAGTTTCAATAGAAAAAACCATATAATTAAAAAAAAATAAAAAAATTGAATTTCGAAAGTAGCATTTTTAGAAAAATCACCCAATATGTAGGTACATTATTTTATTCAAAGACATGGTTTCAAATATTAAATATATCGAAAAATCGTCTCTTGAAAAAAATTTTCGTTTCTTCTCGTTTTTAATATATAAAGGATTGGAATTTTTTACATTCTGATCGCATATATATATATATATTTTTTGTACCGAAGATTATCATTGATTCTCGAATAATATATGTAATACATATTCTCTCTCACTCTCTTCAATATATATGTATATATAAAGGCCCTTGAATGTGTACATGTGAATGAAATTCAAAGTGGGGATTAATCTCGCAGTAACGATGAAAAGATCCTTGAACTTCTTTAATCTGCATGTGCAACACAAATCTCCAACTACAGTGGATATAGTATAAGTGAATGGTGAACGCCATTCGCTTATGCGAATTACGTCGACTATATCTTCACGGAAAACCTGCAATCTGATTTGAGTCAATGGAA